TGTCACACAAATAAGGAGAGGTATGTCTTGAAGGAATCGGGGAAATGGTAAGCACAAGGGCATGTCAGAGCCTGTAGGTCTCTTGTAGCAGAATTAAATGGCAAAAATGTAAGATATGTATCTTACTATGAAGCTCACGGAACATGGCATCAAACAAGAAATAATCGAGGTCGGCCGCATATGAGCTCATCCACCAATGCCTACCACAGAGCTCTAGAGGCATGCAAACGTGCGAACAATGAGATGGCAGCTGTGGTCCAATCTCATTCGACCCGTTTCTTGGGTGTTGCCCTTCTACCTACCGGGCACTTGAAGGGGCCCGGAAAGGAGGACGAGGAGGAGGGCGCGAGCCATGAAAAGGATGGAATGGATATTTTGATGGAGGCGTATAAACATGCCGTAGAGACATGCAGCCTAGACGGGGTCGCGCTGTTTGTGGTGAGTGATTGTATTGATTTTTTCTTCTGTCTACTTTTGTCGTTGAATTTTGATTAGGCTTCCTCGCTTCCGTCCTGCCTTCCCCCCACTTTTCCTTTCTTCCTCCCCTTTCCCATTCCAAGGGCCCTTTATCCTCGCCACTCGACCACCCTGGCTTCGAAGCTCTATGGAAAAGATGTGAAGAAGACGGTGTTCCTGTGTGGCTGCATCCCAATAGACCTCAGGTCAGGAGAGAGGGAGGGAGGAAGGGAGGAAGGGAAAGAATGAAAAAGGCAAGGGGGGAGAGGCATGAACAAACAGTGGTCTCATGCTAAACGATACGGTATCCTCTCTCTCACTCTTCTTTCCGTGCGTCTCCTTTTTCAAATTCAGTTTTATCCTGATTACGAAGCTTATAGGGGAAAAGGAGGAAGCTTGCATCAGATATGGAATACACTCGGTAAGACAAAGCAAGAGAGAGACTGGAAGTAAGAATATGCGGTCGATCACAAGCAATCCTCGTTGTTTTACATCGTCCTTATGATACAGAAGGAGTGCTTTACATCTTTTACTCAAAACTTTATCATCCCTCCTTCGCCTGTTTTTACGTAAACCTTTTCATTATGGTAGGATGGGTTTATGACACCAGTGTGGCAATGGTTCACATGGTGATGGCGGGAGTTTTTCAACGATATCCGAACTTGAAGGTACTTTGGAAGGCAGAGATGGAGGGGAGGGAGAGATGGAGAAGATGAGGGAATGAGGGACGAGCGAGGTTTGAGTCGATTTAGTACGGGACGTTTCTCGTTGCTTCTGGCGGGAAAAAGGAAGATCACAAGAGCCAGACAGATTGAGGAAACATGTGAGAATTCTCAACCGTGGCACTCTCGGCTCAATTTGCCCTTCATTCTTCCTCCTCACTACCTGTAGGTTGTCACGCACCACCACGGAGGGATGATTCCCTTCTTCACTGACCGATTTATCACCCAGAGTCAAAATTTTGACGATACAGAGGGTCTTGCTTTGCTGGACGACATGAAAAAATTCTACTGTGATACCGCCACCTTCGGCTTGGCCCCGCTCAATATCCGGCAGGTTCGTCCCTCTCCCTCGGGCTGAAGTTTCCTTACTCTACACGCCAACCCCGATTCTGAGGGAGCTTTATTACACATTGGGATTGACTTCTTGTTGTTTTCTTTCTTCATTTTTCAACGTCCTTCCCTCATTCTATCAGGCCCTGGAATTTTTCGAAAGCGGCCGTGTTTTGTTTGGAACAGACACGCCCATGGACATGGCTGAACCAGGATCATTTACTTCAACGAGCAAAGGAGGGGTGTTACAATGCGGTAAGAACAGGAAAGGGAGGTGCGAAGCAAACGGTGGATAAGGTGTACGTTACGTGGGCAAAAAGGTTTTAATTGATCCGAGACTGGCTGACTATTATGAGAGTGACGTCATAACCCTTACTTGGAGCGTAGATCAGAGACAGAGGAATGTGTGTAAGGTGAAAGAGCTAAGTCTGACAAAAACGACATTTCCATTTTTGACATTTCAGGGGCTGCTCAAGACGTGATGGACAAAATTTGGGGTCAAAATTTCTGGGTGATGATGGAAAAGCGTTTGGAGTTGAAGAAAGCACACAACATGGAGGTAAAAGGAAATGTCGATACGATAGACCACACGCGTGAAAAAGCAAGGGTTAGCGATTCTTCTACAAGTTGAACGTAGTTTATCTGCTTGGCTATGTGTATGGCCTTCCGATGTCGTAAAATGAATTTCGAAGACAAAGGACTCGCGTAAGCGTCTTCCGACACTTAATGGAAATTTTTGAGGCGGGTGGCATCAGAAAAGGGTGCATTGTTTTCATCTCCAATTTTCTTAATTACCGTTTCTAGATAGTAAGTGATTGTGTATAACTATTCCAAAAATATTTCCCCGGCACCCAACTCATATTCAATCGAGAAGATCTTGGTGGATTTGCACATTTCCTTTATCTTCACCCAAATCTAAAACGTATATGCTTATTGTACATTCGTACAATTTTCTTTCATTCCTGCTCTCAACGTTTTGTATTTTCATAGACTAGCTACGTCTGTCATTCCGATATTGACTTTTATTTTGGAGTAGATGTGATCAGTCTTCGAGCCACCAGTAACTCACCTTATTATAGAACAAGATAGGAAACCCCCCAAAATCACCTGATAAAGGTGTAACAGAAAAATTTTACAACAAATTTCTCAAGTATATAGCCATTTAACCTCTCAGTAGTGTGAAAAGCTCTTTATAAACATTTTATCCGCAAAAAATACAATAAACCACACATACTCAGGCCGGTACGGGTTGTGATAGCATATGGGCCAGGATTATTTTGGTTATCAAGTTCCGACCCCTGTCTCTGTACAACACTTGGCGTCTATTCTGTGCTTTATGACAGAAAAAATTCAGTGGTGAGATGAGCATACACGGGCATCCTTTCCTCAGGACTCGACATGCTTATCCGTCACTTCGTTTTCTTTAAAGGATTGGCAGGTCGTCTCCTGCTTGCCTTCCCAGCTACGCTCGCTCATTTCCCTACATTCCATCACATTTTCGAGGCCCGATAGTCAACATTCGGGGAAAACTTGAGTTATCAGTAGCCTAGGCTCAATCGTAACAAGGCTACATGATTCAACTGAAACCGCAGCGATTACAGGGTAGAAGTCTCCAGTCACCATGCTTATTTCTTTCCTCTTTCTTTAACGACATCATCAGCCTGTCGAAATGTGTTTCATTATTTTACCCACAAGCTTGGAAGGATGTCCTCAATCCACTTTCTATTTGGTTATGAGCGCATGTAGTAGAAGTGAAAATTTGTACAATGGGATTACTCCGGAAAAGATGCATGCAGACAAGCGACATTCTACCTAAAATACCATGTATACTCATTCAAGCGAAGTTACCCTCCCCGCTGCGCAGCTTAAAAGATCTTCTTGAACTCTTGCAATGCATGATCAATGCCCTGTACAATTCTTTCACATCTTTCTTTAATTTCACGTCCGTTCACTCGTTCAAACGCCGTCCTCATACCCTTCTCCCCATCCACTACGTCCTTCACAATATGATCAGGAAAAGATTGAGCAAATAGCCTGAAAGGAAAAGACCCCTCCTCGTGTTTATCAACCAGTTGGGCCTCCCGCAGCGGCAACTTGCCTCCTTCACCATGCAAACTGCCTCCTCCTTGGAACTAAGCACAGAATTCTCGGTGGAAGGTGGCAGGGAAGGGGACGGGGAAGGGAGGGGAGGAGAGGAAGACCGACAGCCCCTGGTTTTTGCATCTCCACCACGCCCCCGGTTCGAAGGAATGGAGGAGCATGACTTCGCACCGCTCGCGGATGGAGGAAAGAACATGGAAACTGGCAAGGTAAAGCTTTTCCCCCGCCCCTTATCTGGTGTCGCTTCCCGTCCATGGCCCCCGCCTTCAGGTTTCAGGAAAAGGATGATTGTGTTCGCAAGGCCTCGCTCGGCTCTAATCTTTGTCCTACCTATGGCTACCTCTGGTAATCCCTACCTATAGGAGCACCCCTGGCAAGGGATGGACCGCCCGCAGGCGAAGCTCGAAGGACCTGCTGCCCGTCTTCCCTCCACCCTCCCACCTTTCTCCCCTCCCTCCACCTCTTCCTCCCCGTCCACCCGCCTGCGAGCGCGAAGCGATCGAGAACTCTCGCCTTCCATCTCTGCCCCGCAACAACAGCGGCGACGGCCACAGAACAGGCAAGGGATGGACCTGCCCACAGATGGAAAGAGCGAGAGGAGCAAGGAGACGTATTCTAGTGGGGCAGGAAGAGGGGAAAGGGAGGCAGAGGGGCCAGGGGAGCTGCCAACGGAGGAGGAGAAGAAGGGTGGTGGGCTGCAATACCAGGGAAAGAAGGGGGAAAGGCGGGGTGAGAGACATATAGAGTCGATGTCAGGGGACGAGGAGGGTGGAAGGAGGGGTGCGGTCGAAGAGAGGGAAGATGGACAGAGAGGAGATGAAGGGCAAGAAGAAGGAGAAGGTGCACAGCTCCCTTTCCCCCTGAAGCAACAACAGCTGACGACGGGTATCCCGGAGAAAGCGCCGGCGAATTCAGGGGCTGTGGGACACGTGGAAGGGTAAGTAGGGAGAGGATCCTGAAAGAGGACTTTTAAGGGGGCGGGGAGATGCAGGCAACCGGAGGGATGCTGTGTTTCTGGGGAGCGGGGACATTTGCCCTGGCACATAACTTCGGCCTATTATCCACTAATTCTTTCCCTTCTTTTTCTTGTTCAATTGTCACGTCACTTCCTCTCTCCTCACCAGCGCCTATGACCCTCAGGAGTATGCCTACATGCTGCCCTCTTTACCCTTAGAAGTACGAGAGGTTCTGGCATTCGTGACACGGTAAGCGATGTGTGTATCAAGCAGGCCACCTCTTTCTCTCCCTCTCACTTTCTTCATAAGATCGAGGACTACGAGTGAGGGTTGAACCATTCGACTCAGATCTTTTGCTCTCTTTTCTTTCGCCGCTTACGCTTCTGTCAGCTATCAACCTCACGATTGCGAACTAGAAACCCCCTTGAAATGTTTTATCCCGGACTACCTCCCGGCCGTGGGAGAGATGGATGCCTTCCTGAAGGTATGTAGGGTGAAAAGAGGGTGGGAGGGGGGAAGGGAGGGAGGGAGGGAGGAAGGGAGGGAAAGCAGGTCTTGCTGAGATACCTCGAGCGAAAGAAGGATCTGGACGTCGAATTCTGGCGTTATGATCAAGTAAAAGGGAGAGGCACCTGAGAGGAAATTTGGAGGATTAAATGGTAGACAACCGGGGAGCATGGGGAGAGAGGAAAAAGGGCAGATGCGGGAGCAAGGAGGGAAGGTGAGAAGGGAAAATGTGAGGATACAAGTCTTAGAAGCACCTCTCTTCGTCCCTTCCTTCACCCAGATGCCAAGGCCAGACGGCGTTCCCGATGACTTGGGGCGCAAGGTAAAGGGACTGCTTCCTTCTCCACCTCATGTACTCCTTCCCCTTTCTTTTATTGCGCCAACTTTCTCTCTTTGTGTCTTTTAACCATTCTTCTCTAAATCTCACGCTTTTTACTATCTTTTTTCTCTTTTTCGCCGATTTACCGCCCCCATATAGGTTATTGACGAGCCTGCTCCTCGACAGTCCCACCCCTCCATTATAGGTAATGTAATACATTGCCCTCCTCTCTTTTTTCTCATTTCCTTTGTGTTCCGTGTACTAGACATCCCTTAAAACGCCATTTTTTCCTCCGAAGGCATTCTCACTTGACCAGTCACCTTCCCTATTGCATCGTTTCTTCCAGAGCTTCGTCAGGCGGCCTTGGCCAAGGTCAGCACTCGGAGGGCAGAAAGCCTTGTTCAGGTGAGCAGAATGGGTTGAAGGGATGGTCGAAAGGAAATACGAGAGAGAGGGAACGACCTCGGTGTAAATTTGGTTAAAGTGAAAATGGAAAAGATAATTTTCGTTCGTTCCCCTGTCATTGTATACTGCAATAGGCCATAAGACCTTGTACGTTTCTCTATGCACCTTCTTATCCATCTCTCATCCTTTTATCTCTCCATCACTTCTTTACTCTTTCGTATTCTATTTCTAGGTCCGTGGTATTCCTGACGCCGCAAAGAGACCTCAAGAAATTGAAAGGTGGATAAATGAGGTTGCAACCCTCCACGCAAGCTTGCCATCTTCGCAGGTACAGGGACCGCAGGATTAAAAGCCAAAATAAAAAGAGCGAGAGAAAGGGGAATGAAAGGGAGATGACAATGTGTGGAGCAAAACTCTGGCGGCACAGACGCGCATTGACGAAGAAATATAAATGCTACGTCTTCGCGAACAAATGATGCGAAATGGGAAAGATACTTTCGTCTCCCGATTTTTTCTCACACTTTCCCTTTCCCCACATCCTCACCTATCCCCCTCGTCTGCTATGAAATATTCCGTCAGGTCCAATACTCTAAGCCCATGCCTGAGCTCGAGCAGTTGATGGAGAAATGGCCGCCTGCCGTAGAGGTGGCCACAAGACGGAAATTAAAGGTAGGTGACTGAGGGGGAAGGGAATAGTATCAGGTGACAACAACAAATATGTTTCGTTTTGTAGTCTTCTATGTCTCGTATGGAATGCCACCTGTCTGCGCTTGTACGCATGAAGGGTACATCGTATAAATTATAATTGCATAAAACGCCCATGACGTGTCTTGCCCACCTACGGCCCTTTCCATCACAAATCGTCCATACTCTGGTTCCTCTTTTAGCTTCTCCCTCCCTCGCTTGACCTATCGCTGGAGGAGTATGCCGAGACGGCTTGTGCCCTATTTGACATTCCAGTACATATAGGATGGTGAGTCTTTGCTCTTGCAATCCTTCTCCGTTTCTCTCTTTCGCACTCCATCTTTCAGTCATGGCTTCTCGCAGACAATTTTTCTGTGGCCATCAGTGTCTTGATTTGACTTATCATGATTTTTTTACCTCAACCTCCATGATTTGTTTGGTATCCAAAGTGAAATTTGTTTTTTTTAAATGTGACACGAACTCACACCAGTTCATTTTCTATTCCATAGTGTCCTGGAATCTGTGCATGCATTATTTTCGCTCTTCCTCTCTTTCAGAGAGGAAAGCTCGGAAAACCAACAGGATGTTCACGCAGGAAATGGAACAAAAAGAGACACCTAGGCTCTGCAGCCGGGATCAGATTTCCCGAGTGAAACTTCTTTATGAAGAATGATACCAAGCTTTGTTGTTTCAGAGCAAGCATGCCTTTTTTGAGTCAGGCCTGAATTGTGGCGAAAGTGTCGAGGGCTGATGAGAGAAATCCACTCCACTTCCATGGTCATTTGCAGTGTGATACTCAATGAATCAATTCGTCTTTCGAGCGCTTTTCTATATTGGCGTGTGATAATTGCAAGTAGAAGTAAGTGTCATGAAAGATATGTACCGATGCCTCCGGGAAATAAACCTATTTTTTCGCTCATTGCGTTGAGTGTAAACTTTTTACCCAATAAAGCATCGAAGACAAGAATTAGTATTTCTGTAAAGGGCGGAGCACAGCAGGCCCTGAGTGCCCTTTTCCTCGTCTGCTAGACCCTGAGAATCATCAGTTGCATGTCTTCGAAATGCAAAACCCCAGAGGGGTCTCCCGATGACGCCTTGGACGAATATGTTCTGGTTCAAGCCCGTTACGATCACGTTTCTTTGGTAACGGCAAGCTGCAACGGAACTATGTTGATAGTTAGACAAGCTAGATAACGCAGTCGTTTCCAACAATCAAAACATGAGCTGATTAGACAGGACACTCGACTCATTGCTTGAGCTTGTCTTTCCTTGGAATAGAGGATTTAGCGCTCGACCCAGTGCCACGCTACTTACTCACCGTTCGACGTCCGGCCTCCCTGCTTTCAATATTTGTCAGACCCCCTGCTCGTGATATTCTTACTTCTTCGAGAACACACAAGCCGCTTATAACGCATAAATATACATTTTGACTTATAGCTCACGTTGTGTGTGTACTACAAATAAATAACTTTGTAGTAATCGATACGCCTCTTACCCGCCCTGGTAAAACGTTACTGCACGCACACACTTCTCAACCCATAGAGCACGTACAAGTTTTGAGAGAGTTAAATAGAGCATGGGAGGCAGGGTATCTACGTGCGCAATGGCTTCCACATGCGACGGACTGCCCGGAAATGCCTCGTTCCAGGGTTCCTACGCTGATTGCTCGGCCTCATGCACCCTAGAGTACTTTACATTCGATTCGACATTAAATACGGGTAATAACTGTTTATGTTTTGAACAAAATCAGTGCACTACTGCTGTTTTCCTCGGTGATCAAGGAAATAATTCCGTCCTCTACACTTTGAACGACTTGGTGAGTTGCAAAATTATAGTCCGGTATGTCGTTGGAGCTTTCCATGCGCGAGAAGCCTCTCTATGCATTATATCAGTCATTTTGAATGCCTTAGCTGAATTATTCTCATTAAACATGTACTGATAGAAACTTTTATTATTTATTCATGCAGGACCAGCCTTGTCCGGCCATCCCGTTCTCAGCGTGCGACTTGACAAATTTCACATGTAACTTCGATGCGGCAACATTCTTCCTGGGAACACCGGCTTCTATGCAGGAGTGTGTCGACGAGGCCACATCTGCAAATATTGATATCCTGTACACCTTTCTGAATGTCACCGATGGTCGGTGTTACGGTTTTACCGCCGCAGATTGCGCCGCAGGCCTAGAGCCAAGTGCGGGGTTTGAGAGTGCGGTAATTCAATATGCAAACCCGAACGCGACATGTCTGTCAAAATGCTCCGATTTCTTGCCTGCCGCTTACTTTCATAAAATAACCGCAACGGTCAACCGCGCGAAAGCTGGCACGCGCCCGGGAAGGCGACTAAAATACAAGCTAACGCTTGTTCCTCGGAAAGTGCAGCCCTCTCCAGCTCTGCTACCGTCGCTGGATCTCAGCCTTCGGATCTCTCCTTATCTGGAGGTGAAAAAGGCCACCCTGAAGACCACTGACCCAGCTCTGAAACATGCTGAGATCGACCGTGATGCAGACCTTGTGACATGGCAAAATATTGGTGGCCCATTGTTCGGCGTTGGAACGAAGAAAGGGGTGCCGCAGTCGCTGACTTTTACCATGGTCGCCGTTCTCGCGAAAAATGCGCAGACCGCTGCGGATATTGGCATCCAGGCATATTTGAGTGACCTCAATAATGGGATCTGTGGAGTTCTTGTTGCCGAGACGGATGTCCTGGTGAAGACTTCCAGATAAAATGCTTCAAGATGCCTGAAGCTCTTATAAATAGAGGAACAACGCATATCAAAGTAATAAATGTAACCCTAACCCTAACCCCAACCCTTAATGCATGTCCAATATACACGAGAGGAGATAAATATAACACATATACACATATATCCAATATATACGAGAGATACGTATAACACTAATAAGAAAGCTTCTTGCAGCCTCAAGTTACTCGTCGGTGTGCCTGTCTTAGAGACCATTTGTGCGTCGCGGATAAGTATCTCTACTCGTCAATTCATATTGACCACACGGATGGAAAGATTGGGCTTAATGTTTTAAATTGCATAGCAAAGCACGAGGGAAACTGGAAGAGAGCAATGATCAATTGTTTGCCCTAGCTTCAAGCATGAAAGGGGTTTATGGAGCGTAGCATACAAGCATCCTTAAACCATGTATTGCTTCTTGAAGAATATAATACATATTTTTTACAAGTCGATATATAATAATAAAGTCGGAAATTGTTATCTTTTAATCACCAAGACTAGTTTGTTCACCAAAAAAAGTGAATCTGTTTGCTTACTTGATACGCACAAAACTATTACTTCCAAATTTCTGCATTTTTCCTTCTAGAAAAAAGTATTTTGTAAGCCATTCCTTAAAATCCGACAGTGTCTCGATTCCGGCATCTCAATCCTCAATTTTCTCCGATACTCTCTTGACTACCCGATATCCCAGTTCTCCCCATCGAACAGCTCACCCATCGCCGCGTCGACTGCTCGCTGTTTCTTTTGCATGAGTACGAGATATTTTCCCACCCGCTTCATAGACGTGATTTCCCTTCCTCCATCTCTCCTCCTTCCCGGTCGGCCTGGACTCATCTCATTGCTATTGTAACTGCCGGAATTTTCACGTTGGTACAACGTACTTCCGATAAAAATATCGTAAGGAGTCCTACCGTGCACATCTTTAACAATCATGTCAGCCTTACCTTCCTCGATCAACCATCTGATTATTTTTAAAGCTTTTTTCTCCTTATCCTCACTTTCCTCCCTGTCGTTCTCTCGTCTCTGCGACGGCGTTCTGGCAGGCGATGAGAATGAAGAAGGAGATGCTGGAGAAGAAAAAGAAAAGGAGGCACGAAGAGAGGGCGATTGAAGGAGATGACCAGCCGGAGATAACGTTGCCGTAGGTGTCAAGGTCTTGAATGGCGGGGAGGAGAATA